CTGCTTCTCCCTCTGACCCTCCCCCCTCTCATGTGCTCTCTCTCATTCTCTCTCTCTCTCAAATAAATAAATAAAATCTTTAAAAAAAAAAACAAAAAAACCAAGCTTCTTATGGATAGGAAAAAAACCCGCCCCCAGTAATCCCCTCTGTCACTCAACTCGTGACCCCTCTCGTCCTAGTTACGGGCTCACACACTATTATATTGTGCTGATCAAGGAACGCGTGCCTTTGGTTTAATTTAATGCTGTGTCACCAATGGCCTTATTTTTTAAGATTTTATTTATTTATTTGACAGAGGACAAGCAGCGGGGAGTAGGGAGAGGGAGAGGGACAATCAGATTCCCTGCTGAGCAGGGAGCCCGATGCGGGGCTCGATCCCAGGACCCTGAGATCACAACCTGAGCCAAGACAGATGCTTAATCAACTGAGCCACCCAGGCGCCCCCCCACACCAATGGCCTTATTTTTTACTGGCTCTTTTCCAGTATAAAAGTTAAACAATTCTCATTAAAAAGAAAACTGGGAAAGGTAGAAGAGCACCTTATTTCCTTATACTGACAAACCGGTTTTCCCATTCTGTACATTCCTTCAGGATCTGCCCCCGCTGCCATTGTGCCTGCCATGGGCGTGTGATATTTTTTCAAAATGTGTTTCAATCATCAGGTACACACACAGTTATTTGGTTGGCTTTCTATTACAAAAGTAATGTAGGTTGTAAAGACATTTTTAACCATTATAGAGACATATAAACCAAAAAGGAAAAAAAAAAAACAGTCCTTCACAGATCTCTTCCCCAACCCTTACCCGGATATATTCCTTGTGTTTGGCAAAAGTGGGATTTACTTCAGTAGCTCTGTTGTTGTTTTAACTGAAATGTAACCATGTAGAAAAGTACACACATGCCAAGCATATGAATCTACAAATCATCATACTGAAGCACAAGCCTGGGGAGAGCAGAACAAGGTCCGCCCCCCAGAAACCCCCCAGTCCTCCTAGCAGCCCCGCTCCCTTCTACTGCCCGGGACATGACAGTAATCAGGGACAGTGGGTCTAAAACTGCTTTCACCGGGGAGTGGCCATCCCAGGCCAGGGGAGGGGATGGGGAGGTCGGGGGCTGGGCCCTGGGGGCTCCGTGCCTGGATGTGATGTTGATATTTTATGTTGCTTTAACCGCCTTTACTTTCTGAGCTAGGGGCTGTCTCCACCCATAGCAAAAGTGTAACTTTGTTGTAAATGAGCGTAAGCCTCACCCTGGAGAGCGCTAGTAAGTACAGACCAGGGGAACCCGACCCTTCTCTGTCCTCGCTGAACCAGACCCTGGGCCTGAACCGCACCCCACCACACCCCTCCCCTTCCCCACCCCACACAGTTCCCTCCCTGACTAGCAGGAGACAGGGAGGGCCTGAGGTGAGCTTGGGCCCGGCACAGGTCCTGGGGCGGGGATTCAGGTGGGGCTGGTGGAGAAAAATCAGCCCCCTCTGGATCAGAGGGTCTTCACGTTGGGCGTCTCTCAGCCCGGTGGAGAGCTGGAAGCCTTTTGGGCATGTGTGCGAACAACCACTTTTCCAGGGGCGGACCCACCAATCCTCAAACAGGATGTTAACCTCAACTCTAGAGATTACAAGACTTGGGCCCCATTTCACCCCCAAACCTGGTCCCCCAAACTCCCAGCCAGCGAGTGCTCAGCCCAGGTCCAGGGGTCAGAGACAAAGGGGAGAGGGGCCTCCGTGCTCCCTGTGGGACCCAAGCTGGCCTGAGCCTGGGCAAGAGCGTGTTCAACCTGCAGAGACTTCAAGCTGCCATCCACGTGTGTCCGAAAATCCCACCCAAGCAGGGCCCACCTGGCCCTGCTTCCTGTTATTTCTGCTCACAGGGCCCATTCAGTGGCTGCATGAGAAAGAGAAATGTCCCACCAGAGACCCCATAACACGGAAGGGAAGTAAAAAACCTCACATCCCAAAAACAACCTGAGCAGAGCTCAAGGTGTTAATACGTTATTAAGTGTTAAGGTGTTAATATGTTATTAATATGTTGCCCAAGCGCTTTTGCTTTTCTCCACTGAAAATCCACCCCTCCCCCGCCAGGCCGTGGCCCAGCCAGGCCGCCAGGGTGGGAAGGGGCCCTGGGGTGGTCCACTGCAGGGTGCACTTGCTTGTCAGCTGCTTCTCAGAGCAGTGGCCACCAACTGCAGAGGTCCTCGTGCGCAGAGATGGTGCTTTTGTGTTCTCAGAACACATTCTTTTGTAAGTGCGTTTGTCAAGAGAAGATCCATTGGAAGGCTCTTACCAGCCAGCACCCCCCGCCCCCGCAGCCGAGCCACTCCCGTTGCTGGAGTGGACAGACAGCCTTGGCCGAGCTGCAAAACATCTCTGAGCCTCAGTGTTCCCACCTCTGAAGTGGGAGTAACTACACCCACCTCAGCTGGTGATTCCAGGGGTAGGCCCTCCGGTGCTGCCGGCCACAGAGGGGTGTTCGTGCCGTGGCCCTGGATGTACAGTGATTTCTGAGTCAGCTCCTGAGAACAGGACTTAACCTGGCTCACCCCCCACCCCCATGACCTGGATTCTGAGTTCGGGAAATGTGCTCCCGCTCCACACTGTGGGGCCTGCGTATCAAGCCCAGAGATAAGCTCTCCGTCAACAAAGAATACTTTCACGTTAAGTGGTTCTGGACTATGGGGGGCCAAGGGCAGCTGGGCATGAGCCCCCAGGTCCCGAAAGTGGGGACATGGTCATCGAGGAGGCTGTCAGCTGCTCTTCTGTCACTGCTTTGTTAACTCACGACCACTGTCCCCACAAGGGGCTACTGGCAGAAATTAGGGGTCCCTCAGAGTCCAAGGCTCAGTGCTTTTAACACCCATTGTGGCACTGTCAGCCCCTGAGGGGAGCTGGGTGATGGGAATAGGTGGGGAGCCCCTCTGGCATGGGCCACAGTTTGCCACCAGGACAGTGGGGAGGTCTGGGAAAGTGCTTCGGCCCCACTGTCCGCACGTCATGCAGATGTAATGCAACCAGAGGCTTGGCCTCTACTTGTCTGAGATCTCGGGGACCCTCTCCCCCCTATGCAGCTGGCAGTCTCTGTGGCTCTTTGCCCACTGATCCCCTCCCCTGAAGAGGCATGGACACCCGGCCCTGCCCCATCCCAGAATTCCAAAGGCCACAGAAACGTACTTGGCTCCCTGCCTCCAGCATCTAGCCTTGGGCCTCCCCCAGAGAGCCTCCGCGGGCTGACCTGAGTGCTGGGGCGAGAGAGCTGGGAGCTCTGGCTTGGCTCGGCCACCGTTCACTGGGCCCTGTCCTTGCAGGTGCGGCTTCAGGTCCAGGGCCTGGAGAAGCCTCAGTACCGAGGGACCTTGCACTGCTTCCAGTCAATCATCAAGCAGGAGAGTGTGAGTGGCCTGGGCCTGGGGGTGGCGGTGGGGAACCATCTTCTGGAATGCTTTGAGCCCCAGACGGCAGAGTTGGAAAAGACGCACCCCCCCTACCCCCCGGCCCCGCGGACTATGGGCAAATGGGGACTTGGGAAATGGGAAGGCGCGAATGCCCAGGCCTCGGACCTCGAGGACGTGGGTTCTAGCAGAATTCGGCTTGGTCCCCTTGAACACGCGAGGTGGCTGGGGGGCTCAGCAGCCCCTGCACGCGGGCTCCCGGGGAGGCGGGCGGGGCGGCCCGAGCAGGAGCAGGAGCGCGCGTGACGCGTGTCTGTGCGCCCCCGCAGGTGCTGGGCCTGTACAAGGGCCTGGGCTCGCCCCTCATGGGGCTCACCTTCATCAACGCGCTGGTGTTCGGCGTGCAGGGCAACACCCTGCGGGCGCTGGGCCGCGACACGCCGCTGAACCAGTTCCTGGCCGGCGCGGCGGCGGGCGCCATCCAGTGCGTCATCTGCTGCCCCATGGAGCTGGCCAAGACGCGGCTGCAGCTGCAGGCCGCGGGGCCGGCGCGCACCTACCGCGGCTCGCTGGACTGCCTGGCGCAGATCTACCGGCGCGAGGGCCTGCGCGGCGTCAACCGGGGCATGGCGTCCACGCTGCTGCGCGAGACGCCCAGCTTCGGCGTCTACTTCCTGTCCTACGACGTGCTGACGCGCGCGCTCGGCTGCGAGCCCGGCGACCGGCTGCTCGTGCCCAAGCTGCTGCTGGCGGGCGGCACGTCGGGCATCCTGTCCTGGCTGTCCACCTACCCCGTGGACGTGGTCAAGTCGCGGCTGCAGGCCGACGGGCTGCGGGGCGCCCCGCGCTACGGCGGCTTCGTGGACTGCGTGCGCCAGAGCTACCGCGCCGAGGGCTGGCGCGTGTTCACGCGCGGGCTGGCCTCCACGCTGCTGCGCGCCTTCCCCGTCAACGCCGCCACCTTCGCCACCGTCACCGTGGTG